ACAAATCTCAGATGCTTTAAGGGGTTTTCTCCCACTGTTTGGAGAAAGAGGAAGAGTCTGCGTGCATTAAAGAGGTGAACAAGGGGGAAAATGAGTTCAGGAAAGTTACCAAGTTTTCCCCATCCCCTACTGAAATGCTTTTTTTGTTTGACAGATATAGTGCTCTAAAATGTTTCTTTTTTTTTTTTTTTGCACTGTCTTTGCTGGTGCTAACACTTCCAGGGCTTCAGATTGTTAGACCAAACAGTCTGACCACAAGAACACAATTGTGATAGCACACTGTGAGGTGATCTCTGTTCACATCCAGTTCAAAAACTCTTGGCCACAGTGCTCCTATGTGTAGTGTTGCCCACATTAGAACTGAACTAGCTGTAATACAGGCTGTGCTCTGAGGAAATGGGACCTTCTGTTTCTATCTGGAGCAAAAGGATCCTCTGCTTTCCATCCTGAAGTGCTATATATGGAAACAGCTAAAGTTATGCATTGTCAGACTCTAAGGAAAAGTTCCTTAATCTAACAAATACCCTGAACAAATTCTAAAATTCCTTCATGGAAGGCAGCCTTTCCAAAAAAACACCAATATGAAACAAAACCAAACAAGAAATAAAATCAAACACTGTTGATATTCAGTGAGAGACAGAATTCTACCATTTGACTCCTTTATTCAGTTCCAGACTTGCTCTACACTCTACAGTTTTCACTAAACACAGCTTCCAAACCTTTGCAAACAATACAAAAGGCTTAGGTAATGCAGTGAGTAATCTCGCCTACTTAATTCAAACTAGGTCTGGGATAAGCAGAAGATCAACAGAAGTGGCTGTGTAGAGTTTCTAAGCATCACAGGTTGCATATTTCATGGAGAAGGTTCCCTTGTCAAGGATTATTTGCCTTGTTACATTTGCTCTGGTTTATATGAAGTTTATAGCAGATGGTTTCTGGAAGTAAAAGATCTCATAACGCCAACCTGGGCCATGAGCCTTGTTATGAAATAAGTTATGAGTGCTGTATGTCAAACTATATCAAAGGCAGGTTAAAATAGCCAACATAAGCATTCCCAAACTGGGAAATGCCAGAGCTCAGGACAGCTTGTCTTTTAGAGTGTTGCTGGATGAACCAGGAACTCTCTCTCTTGGTTTCAACAGGTACAGAGCAGCACAAGACTGACCCTGGGGCACACAAAGGCCTTACAGTTCCCCCCACACAACCTGCAGAAGTGGAGAGGACCTTCAGCTGTGCACCCTGGCTAAATTCTCTCTGCCAAGAGAATCCCTTTCAGTCAGAAGTAGATGGATATTCTTCCAGTTTGATGCACAATGATATTTCTAAGTGGCATGAACAATCACAATAGCATGCACAGCAGGAGCAGCTATACAAACATCTCTACTGCTTAGGCTGTATCTTGTGAACATCTGACCCAAATGATATTCCCTCATATTTCAGATGCCCAAGCACTTCCTACATTCAGCAAACTGAAAGAGACTGACTTGTAAAAGACACTGGAATCAGGTTTTTCTTCATGCAAATCTCTGCTAAGAACAAAGTAAGCCCTAGTTCTATGTTTTTGATTACTAAACTATTTGTGTATTTAGGCTAACTGGTAATTTGCAGTGTTTTTACAAAGAAAATCTGGGTAACAAGTAGTAGTGCCTTGCTCCAAATTCTTCCAAAGTGGAAGCAACAAAAATATGTCTTTTCCTCACTCAAGAGAGCTTGTTTTTCATTTCTCTTAGTTTTTTGGAGTCCAGAAGTCAGCATGGTCAACATCTCATACCTTCATTAGTGCTCTACATATAAGCCCTAGAATATTTTTGTACATAAATTGTCCCACCTTTGGACTACTTGATCTAGCCATGTAATAATTCCACCTAGATCCTCCCATACAACATCTCAGAATCAGAGAAAAATAAAGGATGGAAAGGATCACTGGAACCAACCCCATAATGCTACAGTATTTCAAGGAAGACAAGGCCAGGGCAGTCTAGGAGAGCTTCATATTCATCTTCTCCCCTTGCTATGGGTTATGCATTTCTTTCAGTCACCAGGATCTAGTCCACAGCCCAGAGGGAGGTTTATGATCTGTATACATACAACACATAGTACAATGTAATTCAGTAATGTTAAGCATTGCAGTTCTGCTGTAGATACAGAGGCTGCACCTTGGCAACAACACAATTCCTCTTGGTTAATAGGCTATGACAGGAGGTTTTAATACCACCTGTAAGTACACTTTGTAAGCTACTGCATATGATCATCTCTACCCATAATCACAGAATGGTTTGGAGAGGACCTTAAAGATCATCTAGTTCCCACCCCCAATAATCAGTTTCATCTCTTCACTGCACCCTTCCTTTCTCCTTTTATAGAAGAGAGTTGGTTACCAGCAGTCAGAGGTTTTTGTAAAGGGAAGTACAAAGACTTGCAAAACCCAGAACTTCCTTGGTGACTACCTAAGGACACAGTTCTCAAGAGAGTCAGACCATTTCTTTTACCCATATATGGCAATCCCACAAAAACCTGAAGGCAAATCAGGTAAGTAGCTGTGAGGGTATAGCTGTCACAGCAGCCAATTGCAGGCAGAGCTGAACAACACGTATATAAAAGGGCATCAGGGTGTAGGTTTGGATTATACCTTTTAAAGTCAAAGGAATTTTGTGCTGAGGTCACACTACAAGATGATCGGTGGGTTGGGCCTAGTTTCTTCAAATATCAACATTTTTGCAGGATTTCACTTGCTGTGGCTGCAGATGGCTTGTAAAAATTCACATCTACATCAAAACAGGAAACACAGAGCCTAACAGCATTAAAAAGAGGTGCAATGACTTTTGTGTTTACTAGACCTTAAAACATGGACAAAGGTCTTCTATAATTTAACTCCACTGTTTTCAAGAGATCAAGTTTGACCTTTTTTTGCAAGGGCCAGAGCTCTGCAATATAATGTAACTGAAATGCTGAGTAATAACTGGGAAGTGAAAAGTATCAAATGTGTTTCCTCCACGTGACTTACAGCAGTGCTTATCTAGACCAGGGGCTGCAAGGGGGTTTTGAAACCTAATGGCTAATTTTGAAGTATAGCCCCAATCTCCCCTTCCCAAAGGGGGAATATACCCACAAAGGGGAATATACCCCCAAAATACCCTGCTGAAATGTGCCACTGATGTGATACCATCATCCTTTGGAGTTCTCTGATGCTGTGACCTGAGAGGGCTCAATGCATGTGTTAATGCAGCTCTTTGAAACAGAAATCTTCTGTCTCTCTGTCTGCACAGTCTTTGGCACAGCAGGGTCCCTTTCTCAGCTGGCCCTCAGTAAGAACAGGGTGGAAGGTATGAATCATATCAAAGGTGAACCAGAACAGTTCTCTGCATCACTGACACCAGAAAGTAACAACCTTAACATTTGTATACAAGGCTGATGAGCAGCAAAACTTCTCTGTGTTTTAACTCCAGAGAGGAAAAAATAATTGTAAAGAAACTAAAAGATAACCTAGGTAAAATAGATGTGCTTGCCATGAACACAGAGCTTCTCAGCCCATCATTTACATTCTATATTGTTACCTTGCAATAATTTCTTTTAACTAAAGGGGACTTAACTGAAATGAGAGACTAACTGAAATGAGCATTACCTGGAACTAATGTCACTTGGATTTCCTATAGTCTTGGCAAACAAATAAAACCAAACATACTCCATTTTATGCTAGTCAAAAGAATACAGTCTTTGAAATAAAATAGTTTGGGGTTTTGTGGGATTGTTTTTTTCACTCTGCAAACAAACACACATCTATCACTGGTTCACAAAATTAGCCACAACTGTTTATAGAACCCTCTTGTGTCTCCTTCCTCTTTTCTATACCCCACTATATTCTTGTATGTCCTTAAAAGGTGTCTTTGTGTATTCTCTCTTTCTTACTGGCAGAAACAAAATGACTCGAGGCACTTAACTAGCTCAGCTGAGTATCTGAAAATACTGTGAGGAAGTGACTAGTCATTTAAGGAGTGCTGAGAACTGTTGCCTTTATGCACTAGGTTTTAACTTGACTTGATACATTTTTGGCAGAAAAAAAAGGCGATGAAAGGGTGTTAGAAACTCCCCCCCAGCAGGAGCATAATCTGAGCGATTTAGTGTGAGTACCTTGTGGCTTTAAGAGTGTGTTACCTTGCAGTTTACAGCCTAACGTTACAGGAAAGTGACAAAACACCATTCAGTAGCAGTAGGAAGCTCCATTTAGATTGACAGGCAGGGCAAATAAACCCAGAGCTCCAGGAGAAATCTCCACAGCAAGATTGAACGAAAGAGTTCAAGGCAGCACACAAACATCTTTGCCAAAGCAGCTTCTTGGAGCTAAGGGAGGCCAGGTACTCTCCAGAAGCTTTTGACTGGTTCTGAGCTCAATAGCTAGAGAAGAGACATCATGAAGGTACCACATGTTTGTGAAGATGATACTGGTGCAAGGCCACTTTGACAAGAATGTCTAATTTTGTATTTCCAGACAGATCCTACAGGCCTACAATATGAAACACAACCCTTAAAAATGAAAAATCGTACAATTCTGTGTGAAACAATATATCCACAGAAATACTAACCTTTAAAAATGAGAAGTTAAGTTGAATAAAAAACCTTTGGTTTTCTTACTCTGTATGTTTCATTTATCTCCTTAGACATCAATTGAAAATTCATTAACACTGATAGAAACCAAACACACAGCAGACTTTTCCCGGGACTTGTTTATGTAGCCCAGGGAAGGAGCTCCACCAAGAACTGAGTTGTGTCCTCATGGTCCGTTAATGGGAAAGGGATGAAACTAATGCCTTATGAGAGCTTTTACTTCCACACAGTCTGTACACACTTTGGGCAGTGTTGAAGAGCTCAGTGTAGGCTCCACAACGAACTTTCTAAACATGCGATGCCATCGTGTGGGCAAATAGGTCTCCAGCAGTTTCCAGATGAACCTTCCTGAATGTCATAGGGTCCTAGTGGTTTGGCTTGGAAGGGACCAAAAAGATCATCTCGTTCCACCCCATAACATGGACAAGGACACCTTCCACCAGCCCAGGTTGCTCCAAGCCCCATCCAACCTGGCCTGGAACACTTCCGGGGATGGGGCAGCCACAGCTTCTCTGGACAACGTCACAGTAAACCTCACTGCTCTCACAGTAAATTCAAACATGATCGTCTTGGAATCCTGGTCAATGTATTTCTAACTCTGAGCTGGAAGCAAGAAGAATATAAGAATATACTACAGGTTTTAATGAAGTTTTGCATAGCATGAAGATTCAAAAACCCCTCACAAATAAAATGGGTATTTTGGGAACTTAACTTTGTTATCAAGATTTTTTTCTTGTTCTTGCAAAAGAATAAAACAATGGGAGCTCTGCCATGGCTAGTACAGAGACAATCATAGAATCACAGACTGGTTTGGGTTGGAAGGGACCTTAAAGATCATCTTGTTCCATGTGCAGGGACACCTTCCCCTAGCCCAGGTTCCATGGTATCTGGTTGCAG